TCATGATGCTGTGAGGATCATGATGTCCAGTTGTGAGGATTTTCGTTTTCTTTATGTTGATGTGTAACCCATCCTGCAGGCTGTAGTCTTCAACCTTCATCAGTAAGTGCTTCAAGTCATCCTCACTTTCAGCAGGCACAGTTGTGTCATCAGTGTATCTATCTCAGGTTGTTAACGAGTCTTCCTCCAGTCCTGATGCCATGCTCTTCTTCATACAGTCCAGCCTCTCGGATTATTTGCTCAGCGAGCAGATTGAATAAGTGTGGTGGAAGGATACAACCCTGATGCACACCCCTCCTGATTTTAAACCAGGCAGTGTCCCCTTGTTCGGCTCTTTTATCTTGTCATTTCTTCCATTTGCTTCAGCTACTCTCCATTCAAGGGCAAGTGTCAGAGCCTCCTGGTCTATGTACAGGTTCCTCATGAGCACAGTTAAGTGTTCTGGAATTCCCATTCTTCTCAACGTTATCCATAATTTGTTAGGATCCACACAATCAAATGTTTTTGCATAGTCAATAAAACACAAGTAAACCTTTTTCTGGTATTCTCTGCTTTCAGCCAAGATCCATCTGACATCAGCAATGATATCCCTCATTCCATGACCTCTTCTGAATCCAGCTTGCATTTCTGGAAATTCTCTGTCAATCTACTGCTACAACCATTTTTTAATTACCTTCAGCAAGATTTTACTTCTGTGGATATTAATGATATTGTTTAATAATTTCCACATTCTATAGGATCACTTTTCTTCAGAATGACTGAAAATATGGCTCTTCCAGTCAGTTGGCCAGGTAGCTGTCCTCCAGATCTCTTGGCATAACCGAATGAGTGCCTCTAACAGGACCTCTATTTGTTGAAACATCTCAGTGGATATTCTGTCAATTCCTGGAGCCTTGTTCTTTGCCAGTTCCTTCAGTGCAGCTTCAACTTCCTCCTTCAGCACCATTGGTTCTGGATCATATGCCACCTCCTGAAATGGATGAACATCAGCCAGTTCTTTTCGGTGCAGTGACTCTGTGTATTCCTGCCATCTTCTTTTGATGTTTCCTGCATCGTTCAATATTTTGCCCATAGAATCTTTCAGTATTGCAACTCAAGGCTTCAATTTTCTCCTCAGCTCTTTCAGCTTGAGAAATGCCAAGTGCGTTCTTCCCTTTTGGTTCTCTAACTCCAGGTCTTTGCACATTTCATTATAATAATTGACTTTGTGTGCTCGAGCTGCTCTTTGAAATCTTCTGTTCGGCTCTTTTATCTTGTCATTTCTTCCATTTGCTTCAGCTACTCTCCATTCAAGGGCAAGTGTCAGAGTCTCTTCTGACATCCATTGTGGTCTTTTTTTCCTTTTCTGTCTTTTTAATAACCTTTCGCTTTCTTCATGGATGATGTTCTTGATGTCATCCCACAGTTTCTGTGGTTTTCAATCATTAGTGTTCAAAGCATCAAATCTATTCTTTAGATGGTCTTTAAATTCAGGAAGGATGTAATCAAGGTCATATTTTGGCTCTCGTGGACTTGTTTCAGTTGTCTTCAACTTCAGGTTGAACTTGCATATGAGCAGTTGATGGTCTGTTCCGCAGTCAGCTCCTGATCTTGTTTTGGCTGAAGGTGTTGGATTTTTCCAGTGCCTGTTGGCCACAGATACAGTCAGTCTGAGTGCTGTGTGCTCCATCTGGCGAAGTCCACATGGATAGCTACCGTTTGTGCGTGATTGTCTAGTACAACTTTGAAAACTTGGGCAGAGAAGGGAGGAAGAATAGAGGCAATCTTGGAGGATGGAGTGAGCTGCAGGGAGCTATGGGTGTGGGTGAGTGGCCCGAGCAGAGGTCACCAGGTCTGCAGGAGGATGCCATCGCGTTTGGGATTCACGTGAGGACAGCATTGCTGATCCTAGGTCACCTAGAAGGTGGTGGAGGAAGCAGAAAGCATAGCGGACTGACTTTCAGACAGAAAAATGCAGTGACCTGCTTGTTGTGTGGTGCTGTCAAGTCGGTTTCCATTCACAGTGGCTCTGCATGACAGAGTAGCACTGCTGGTACTGCTTCCAGGCTGTTACTGGGAGCAGATGGCCAGGTCTTTGGCACAAAGCGACTGAGTGGGTTCAAATGGTCAGCCTTTCAGTTAGTAGCTGAGCACTTAACCGTTGTGCCACCAGAAGAAACAGGAAGAGGAATGCTGGGGCAGTAGAAAAGCGAACTTGCGTCCAGTGTAAGCAGGACGTGGTGTGGGGTTGGCTGTTAGGTGGGTGAGGAGCCACAGGAGAGCTGCTGCAGGAAAGTGTGTGGGAGCTGGTCCCCCAGCTGCTGTGAACACACAGGTGAAGGTGCTCTCTCTGGCGGAGTGGGTGTGCGTGGGCACGTTTTGCTTACGTAGCGCCTAGGACAAAGACACTGAAGTTTAGCCATTTAACGTGGAAGTCCTACGTGTGTGTGAGCTAGCGAGCACGTCCAGCACATGGCTGCTGCACTGGAACGTGGCCGAAATGACCTGTGTGCCTTGGCCTTAGACCTTTGTAACCGTTCTCAGCACTGTGTGTTTATCACCTGTGTGCACACATTGCCCTGTCACGTGCAGACGTGCAGGGAGCCCAGGGTGTGTCTCCTGCCGAGGCTTCATCTACCCTAGCGGTTCCTAGCTCATGCAGGATGCAGGTGTCCTGTGGAAACACAGCGACCAAACTCCACGCCGTAGGAAGCAGGTTCAGCCCGTTTGCCCTGCTTTCCAGTGACCAGAGCACAGACTCTGGGAGACATCTGAGCGTGAAGGTTGTGGGACAGACCGCTGCTACAGAAACTTTCCTGGGAGAGTGATGGCTGTGATTTTTCTCACGAGAAGATCCAATAAGTCCTGACCAGGGAGGCTTTTATGTGTGCCTTCAGATTTCACAGAGGAGAACCTTCCTGGGCCCATCCCAGAGAACTGCTAGTGAGCCACCATCCCGTTCACCTGTGGGCTTCCAAGCCTTCCCTGTGGAGACGGGCATCCTCCCTGCCTCACGGGTCAGTTCAGCAAGACAGTGCTGGGGTACTCTTCCCACAGCTGGGGTCAACAGACATAATGCCTCAACCCATAACTGCAGGGTATAATGACGGGTCAGCCATGGGGGAATCCATTTGAAAGTCACAGGTGAAGTTTGTAAAAGAAAAATCCCGAGGGCCAAAGGGCGTCCCCAGGAGAGGCAGGACCTGCTGTCTCCCCTCTCACCCAAGCCCCAGTCTGCCCTCCTCTCTTCTTGTCAGCAGGTGGAGCATTGTGCCCTTGCGAGTGTTTGGAGGCTGTTGGTTCTCCAAACCTTGAGCCTAGTGCACTGGGCCAGGATGTCTGATTAGCCCCCGCTTCCTGAACTCCGATCACTGGCTCTGGAACTCAGAAACCAAACAGAATCAAGAGCTCCAAGTTCAGGAGCCAGGGCCATTCGGAGAGCAAGGGGCGCTCGAGTGTCTTGTAAGCAAGCTGACCGCGTCCTCCTTGCAAAGCCAGGCCAGTTATCAGAGAGTCCCAGCTCAGCTCCTAGCGACTGTGTGTCAGAGTAGGAATGTGGCCCACAGGGATTTCAGTGCTGATTTTTTCCGGAAGTAGATGGCCAGACCTTTGGTCCAGCATGCCTTTGGCTAGACTTGAGCCTCCAACCTTTCCATTACTAGCCAAATGCCTGACTGTTGGCACCACCCAAGGGCTCCGTCCTCCGTGGAGGCAGCTTTGTTTCATGGACTCTAGCTCAGAGCTGGCTTCCCTTCCCCCCCCGCCCCCCCTCCCTGAATGTTCCTGAGGGAGGGTCAGAAGGAGCCCAGCACAGCCCCAGTCTGTGACCTTCGGGGGGGCTGGCTTCAGTGCCGAGCCCGTGTGTGGGATGGCGGGCTGACTTCTACCCAGAACCTGCCCTTTGGTATTGGCTAGCGGCCAGAAGGAGCCTCATCTCCGTCATTTCTAACTAGCCTTTAGAGAGGTCACAGGCCTTTAGGTGACGCCACAAGAGCTCACAACAGCCGTTCACCCACACTCCCCAAAGCTGGGCGCCCTAAGGTCCTTCACCAAACACTTTGTAAGCAGACATGCCCACTTAGTGGAGTGGAGTTGAAGATAAATTCTGCAGATTTCGGCCCAGCCGGCAGACGTGTCAGTGTAAAGCACGTGTGGCCTTTGTCACCTGGCTGTGGGCTTGTCCTGCAGTGGTGGCGTGGCCTTACTTCCAGGGTATCAGCAGCTGCTCTTCAGTGAGGAACCCCGGCTGGCGCAGTGGGGACCGAGCTTGGCTGCCAACCAGAGGCTGCCGTTCAATTCCCCCTGAGGTCCCTCGGAAGAAAGGCCTGAAAAACCAGCCCTGGAAACCCATGGCTCCACCCGACACGGGGCACTGCGTTGGGGTGGAGTCCGTGCCGGCTGGCGGCTGACAGCTGTGGCCTGGGCCCTGTGCTGGCCTCCATGAGGCCGTGTCCTTTAAGCTCCATCCTGCCTTATGAGTCAGGAAAGTGAGGCTGAGGAGTGCGTCCAGAGGTTGGACCACTGCCATCACCTCCAAGGCCAGGGGCTGCAAGTCTCAGCCAAGGCCTTTCAGTCCCGTGCTCGTCCACGTCACCTGGGATCCGTGCTTTCTTCCGGCATGCGTGTGTCGGGCATTCACGTGCTTTCCCACCGCCTCAGGTCCTCTGGCACAAATAGGCCCCTTTGTGCCTTCCTCTTACGTGGTGCATCTGTGCGTCTACCCCAGCCCCTTGTAAGGAAGTTAAAGCTGCAGCCCACGACTAGCAGCATGGATTTCAAGTCCGTCCCCAAGTTTCCCTGAGGTGCCTCAGGGCCCCGCATAGCCCTGGCACCGTGGCTGGTTTCCCTTGTCCTGGTCCCCTGCACGCTCACTGAGGCCCTGGGGCCCCGCTCTAGAGTGTGTACAGTGTGTGGACATGGGGCTCCACTCCGCAGCCAGGTGCTTTTATGACAGGCTGGCAGAGGGGCGGCTGTTGCGTTAAAGCGCCATGCTTCATCCCCCCACCCCTTCTGTGTTTCAGAACAAGAAGAAAACTTTGAGTTTATCATCGTGTCCCTCACTGGCCAGACCTGGCACTTTGAAGCCACCACGTATGAAGAGAGGGATGCCTGGGTCCAGGCCATCGAGAGTCAGATCCTGGCCAGCCTGCAGTCGTGTGAAAGCAGCAAGAATAAGGTGAGTCCGCGGCAGGCTGCGCTGGGCTGGAGAGCGCTGATCGTCGGGGAACTGACGTCTGGGAGCAATGCCTGGGGCGGGGGGCGGAGACAGCAGGACCTGGGCCCTCCCGAGCAAAGCTGAGTAATTGAAAAGACAGAGGGCGCTCACACGTGTCTGTGTGTGTGGTGCACGAGGGCCCTCGACAGCAGTGTTTGTGCTGCCGTCTCCCAGTTTGATTCCTGACGCTCCTGAAGCAGCCCGGGTGTGAAACCTAGGTAAGGAACCCTTTGGGTTCTGGGGCTTATATAGCCACGTTTAGTTTTGTTGGTGACAGAGGAGACGCAGAATAAGACTCGCAGACCTAAGTCTGGCAGTGTGGCGGTCTCCTCGATGCCCAAAGTTCGAACAAGTGCAGGTTAGGAAAGCGACTCTGGTCAGGCGCGTAGATGACAGACGCATGGACGACTGGGTGGGAATTCAGAGACGGTTTCATTTCCATGGTCTAAACTCTATGGATGAAGCCTGATAGGCTTTCAATGTAATAGGGTCATTGATTTAATTAGAGATAATTCTTTCATTGTTGTTTTAGCTGGAAGAAAAGAAGAAAGAGGGACTTAGCCTGCATGGTCCAGACTGCTGCCTGGTGATAGTCCTTAAACAAACCTATTTCCCCACGTGCAGGATCAAGGGCTGCATCACTGGCAGGATTTCTGGGTGTTTTTCAGCCCCTTGGCCAGGCTGTTTTAGACTCTTAGTATTGTGATCATTTTTCAAACTATTCACAACTAGAAACTAAAAGGCAGGACACGGCCCCCAACCCGCAGGTTCATCAGTGACCATTTAAAGACACCTCTGGCAATGATTTACGTTCAGCTTTGTCATTAAGAAGGGAGTCGGCCTTTCAGAAAGACTGAGTGCCCTGTTTTATTGCCTTCTTTAACCAGGGTAAACTGGACCACAGTCATTGTTATTATAATGTCATTCGCTTCTCTTTTTCAAAGACATGTGATGGCCAGGCTGGGGTGAACCACTGCCTTTCATTTCTGAGTGCCATGGCTTTAGTGAGTCACGTCCCCACGCAGCCACCTTCGTGGTCCCTGAAATGAGGACAGGGTTCTTGCACGTCTCCCTGTCCATGGGGACAGTGGCCCATTTAGCTTCAGACCAGGAGCGGGGAGGACCTTTGCTTACCAGGCAAACGTGTATCCAGACATGAGGGAAGGTGCCCAGCTCCCCAGGCCGCCGCCACAGCCACGTCACCTGAGCCAGAGTCGGGAAAGTGGGGAGCAGTGGCGGCCTCATCCACGGCACGTGCTCACCAGACCCTACCCGCATCCCCGCAGCTACTGCAGACCTTGGCTCACTGGCCCTGCTCTGTCCCCAGAGGGCCACACCCTCAGGAGAGCACCCTCCCTGGGAGGGGACACCCCAGACACTTATGAACAAGAGTAAGGACATGAGGCTAAGGAATTACCTCAGCCAGGAGCAGCCTGGGAAGAAAATGACGACTCAGGGAGAGTAAGCTCTGAGTAGGCGTAGACACAGGTCCACCTGTCTGGATTTGTAGATGCAGGTACAAGTATGTATAGAGACAGACAGGCAGATTCCTGAGTGTGTGAACACATGCATGTGCCAGATGCCAATATGAATTCCTTTTTTTAAAATTGCTGTAAAAATACGTATGTTGTTGTTGTTATGTGCCGTCGAGTCGGCCCCGACTCATAGCGACCCCTCCTTGGGTTTCCGAGGCAGTATCACTACGGAAGTAGGATTGCCCAACCTTCCTTCCGAGGAGTGGCTGGTGGGTTTGAACCGCCAGCCTTCTGGTTAGCAGTCAAGTGCTTTAGCCACTATGCCACCTCAGTATAAATTCTTAAGCATATTTTGAATACTTAAGTATTTAACCAAAGGGAATTTTGAAAATCCAGTATTTTGATATCTTAACTTAGGCGAGAGTAATTAATAAATTGTAGTTTATTACTTTGTATTAAACAATACATTGTGTGCCCTGAAACAGTTTGACACACACAGTGGTTCAGTTTAAAGAGCCCTGGTGGCTCAGTGGTTAAGCTTTTGGCTGTTTACTGAAAAGCTGGCAGTGCAAACCCACCAGCCGCACCGTGGGAGAAAGAGGATGTATGCTGCTTCCGTGAAGACTGACAGCCTTGGAGACCCTGTGGGCAGTTCCACTCTGTCCTCTAGGGGCGCTGTGGGTCAGAATGGACTCCACATCAGTGAGTGTGGTTTGGGCTTTGCTTCTGTGAAGATTACGGCCTTGGAGACCCATGGGGCTGTTCACCCTGTCCATAGGGGCGCTGTGAGTTGGAATGGACAGTGGTGGCTTTGGTTTGGTACACCAAGGTTCAAGCTTATGGCCAGTCCTCTCTGAAATTGATTAGGTAATGTTGGCTTTAGGCTTTGTATTAAGTACATGCCAGGCACATGCCACTTTACCCAGAAGGACTTCCTGCTTAGTAAGTCAGGAAGTCATGTGCAGATTTATGGCTGAGCACGCTCTTTGTAACACCATCTGTGACAGGAAACCGGAAGCCGCCTCAGTGTCCATCCGAGCACATTGATAGATGCACTGTCATCAGTGGAATTCCATGCAGCCCTTTAAAATGAGGGAGTAGGAAGATACGCATTGGCATCAAGAGAATGATAGATCATTTGGTTAAAAAGGCAGATTCAGAAGCAGTGTCTGTCATGCTGCCTTCTTAAAAGTGCAGGTCGGTGTGAAGATGCTCTCAGAAACAGCTGGAGAACCGCTCTTGAGGTGTTAACCACCATGGCTGCAGGGCCACACCCTGTATCGGTGTCACATCCTGTGTGTGAATGTTACTTCCCCCACCCACCCCACCCCATGTCTCCCATCTTCTCTGCAGTAGGCCTGTGCTGGGCTTTGTCTGTCTGCTGGTCATTGTGCAAGTAGACAGTAAAGCGTGAGTCTGGGTACAGCGCACCCAGCTCCACTTTCTCACCCCTCCCTGCCCCCATGCAGTTAGTTACAAATGTTTGTTTGGGGGAACCATCAGGAGTGAGTTTGTTGCTGTAGCATCTGCTCCTCTCTTAAAATGAAAAGTGAATCTCCAAGGATGACGCATGGCGTGGCCTCTGTGTCCCCATGAGGGCTGTGAGTTGTGCCTTGTGGCACCGGTTAAGCCCTGGCCTTTGCTCTCAAGCCAATTGTGTCTTTCTGATTCTTTAGTCTTCACACCCAGCAGACACGTGGCAGGAAAAGCATGCTGACCAGTTACACTCGCCACGTGGCAATGGGTCTCCTGTTCGTTCACAACTGTTCCAGAACTTACCTCTTAGCTCATGGCTGGTGCACTTGGTCTCATCTGATCAGTTTTAATATGGGCTACTGCTTTGTGCAGCCTAATAACTCCCCTGTCGTTGCTTGAAGACGACCCATATCCCATATTTGTTCAGGGCCTGTCTGAATTTTCCCTGCCACTGTTAGTGGACACGTCAGTGGCACTTGGAGCTCTTACCTTTTGCACGTGTTGGTCTTCCTCTCTGTCTAGTCCCGGCTGACCAGTCAGAGTGAAGCCATGGCCCTGCAGTCGATACGAAACATCCGAGGGAATTCACACTGTGTGGACTGCGAGACTCAGAGTAAGTGTGTCGGGAAAGCGGGCTGGGCTGGGTACCAGGGAGGAGGGATGCCGCCCACATTGCAGTGAACTGTCAGAGTTGCCATAAAAAGCTTGAGGCCTGAGTTAGCAGGTCTGAGGAGTTGAATAGGATATTACCTGCCACGAGAGAGACCCGGGTTCAGTTCCCAGCCAGCGCACCTCATGGGCGGCCACCACCCGTCTGTCAGAGGAGGCTGGCCTGTTGCTGTGATGCTGAACAGGTTCCAGTGGAGCTTCCAGACTGAGGAGACCAGGAAGAAAGGCCTGGCAGTCTCTTTCCAGAAGGCAGCCAGTGAGAACCCGATGATCACAGTGGTTTGGCCTGTGGCCAGTCACAGGGATGGACGGGCCAAGAAGACCCCGGCAGGGTCTTCATCTGCTGTGCGTGGGGTCATGGTGAATCGGGGTCTAAATCACAGGGGCCTAACAGTAATAAACACAGGGAAGTTATCTGTTTTTATTGGGATGTAATTTCAACACAGTGCTGTTCTCACTAAAGTCTCCACAACGGCAGTGTGTTCCTGTCCTGGTTCTTCTGAGCCTCTGTGGGTCTTGCTTCTTACACCTTGGGCACCGAGACGAGCTGGGATCACCGCCTCGGGCCGTGGTGTCTGCTGCAGATCAGATCTGTGCCTTGTGCAGGAAGCAGCCTTTGACTCCATCATTGATCCCTGTGTATTGCCTCTGCCATAAAAACAGAGTGGGATTGATTCCTTCCTGCCCCGAGATTTCTGTTTATTTATAGTCATCGTCATTTCATTTGAAAATCGTACCTGGCCTTTGCCATCAAGTAGTGTCTTTGTTTGATTTGGTTTTGGTCTTTAATCACAAGCTGCTGATGCACTAAGGAATCGGATTGAACTGATAGGATCCGAAATTGCTGCCTGGAGTTGCCCAGTGTCACTTCAGGCTTCCTAGTCCAGTGTGTGCTGTGCCTTTCCCTCTGGGAGACTCATTTTGCTGTTCGTATCCTATAGGGTAGAGAATTACTATTTTATTATTATTTTAATTTTTATTGTAGTTTGGCTGAAAGTTTGCAGAGTGTATTCGTTTTCCACTCAAGACCTTATGCACATTTTGTTTTGTGACATGGTTCACGATCCCTGAACGTGACAGCACACCTCCCCCACCTCTCTGGGTTGCCCATGTCCATCCACCCTGTCTCCTGAGCTTTGGTTTTGGACACATGCTGCCCATTTGGTCGCATAAGGTTGATTGTACCAAGAAGCATGTTCCTCCTTGGTGTTATTGTTGTTTGGCTAAAAGGTGATCCCCAGAGGTGGGTTCAGTTCCAGGCTTGCAGGGTGTCTAGGGCTCCCACCAGTCTCTGTCAGACCTGTAGATCTGATCTTTTTCATGATTTTGGATTTTGTTCCACATTTTTTTCTCCCACTCTGTCTAGGACCTTCTCTTGCAATCCTGATCAGAGTGGTTGGTAGTGGTAGCTGGGTACCATCTAGTTCTTCTGGTCTCAGGATAGCACACTTTGTGGTTGATGTGGTCCATTAGTCCTTTGGAGTTATTGCTTGCTGGAGTCTGATTTTCTTTAGTCATCTTTGCTCTGGACAAGGAGAGACCCATAGTCATATCTTAGATGGCCACTTGCAGTCTTTCAAGACCCCAGTCTCTATTCACCTGAGTAGGATGTGGAACACTGCTTTGTGGACTATCATGCCAAGTGAATTAGATGTCCCCTGAGACTGTTGTCCTAAGTCCCCCAGGCTAGTGACTCATTCCCTCAAGGTATCTGGTTATGGCTAAGAAGTTTTCACAACTTTGCCCCCTATATAATCGATAATACTCTTGGATATGTTTGCAGTTTACATACACATAAAACCAAAAACTCCAAACTCACTGCCATCGAGTCAATTTCGACTCATAGTGACCCCCTTCGGGTTTCTGAGGTGGTAAATGTTTACAGAAGTAGATTTCCCAGTCCTCCTTCTGCGAAGTGGCTGGGGTTTGAACTGCCAGCCTTCCGGTTAGCAGTCAGATGCCTTAGCCACTGCACCACCAGAGCTCCTGTACATACAAATACATATGCAGAAATGTTCTCAGCCAAATCTACATGTAGTCATGAGTATACTGTCATTTGCATGTCCACATCTGTCCAGCTTGTATGTCTGCCTACATGTCTACACATAGATATTTGTAACGACTCACTGCTGGCTTGTGTGTGTGATAGTATTTGTAATTACTGTAATGTGATAGTGTTGTAATGACTGTCACTGCTGGCTTGTGTGTGTGATAGTCTGTACGCTTGTCGTCCTTTCTCCTGTGCACCTGCCACTGTCTTCCTTTGCTGTTGGCCATGTTGTGCTTCCCGCCCCCCTATAGTGTATTGCCCGCCCCTTCACCCAAGTTAATACACGTCTGTTCTCTGGTTAGTGATTTGCACCCCCTTTCCCTCCCATCCTTGGTAACCACCAAAGAATGCATTCTTGGCTTTGTCAGCCTCAGCAGCCAGCAGCTCTGTGAGTTAGGAGATACCTACAGCTCCAGTGGGCCTGGAACAGGAGGGAGAACTGAAGGCCAAGGTCAAGGGCCCTTTACCCAGCCCCTGGATTTGGACTTGTAGCCTCCTAAACTATAAGAGAATGAATTTGTTTGTTAAAACCATCTACTTGAGGTATTTCTGTGACAGCAGTGCTAGAAAACTAAGACGCACAGTAAAGTGGAGATGAGCCTGCGAGTGGCAGGGGTGGGGGGTACGGAGGAGGGAGGTTGGGCCTGCGAGTGGCAGGGGTGGGGGGTACGGAGGAGGGAGGTTGGGCCTGCGAGTGGCAGGGGTGGGGGGTACGGAGGAGGGAGGTTGGGCCTGCGAGTGGCGGGGGGGGGGATGGGGGGGGGAGGTGGGTCCGAGAGCGAGGCTTGTTCAGAGGACCCTGTGGGGCGAGTTTGTTTAGATGAGGCCACCTGAGCAGATGTGCAGGGACAGGTGACACATGCTGGGGAGAGTTTGACGATTCAGGAGAACAGGATAACGAGGCCCCATTCCTTAAACACCTCTCTGTCGGGCAAGCACTGGCTCCCTGCACCTGTTCTCTTTTCTGATTCTTTCAACTCTGTAACGGTTGATGCTGCTGTAGGCCCTGTTTTCTAGGTGAGGAAATAAAGGGTCTGAGAGGTCAAGTAATTTTTCCAAGGTCACAGAAGAGCAGTTTAAATAGTGAGATTCAGAGGAAGCTCATCAAACCAAGCCTGCTGCGCCTCTTCAGAGAACAGAGGCCTGAGCAGACCAGAGAGGCTGAGATCCAGACACAGGTAGCTCGCACCGTGGCAGAGCCTTTTGAAAGTAAAAATACCCGATTCTGGTAAAAGTGCAGGGAACTGTGCCATCTACCCACTGATGATGATGGGTACATTCATCCACAGGGCAGTTCTATAGCATCGTGATAAGACTGACACACAGATGCCCCTCACACCCACCTTATACTTCCAGGAACCAGACCGATGGAACGAACAGGGCTGACACAAAGATGTTCATCTCAGCATTTTTTATCTCCCAGATGTCTAGAAACGGATCAGCAGTTACATAAATTGAAACGTCTGCTCATGGTGAAGTAATGTGCAACCTTCAAAAATAGTCTTAAAATATGCCAGTTGATGTGGAGAAACCTTGCAAGGCATTTTTAAGTGGATAAGGGCTTGTGGCAGTAAATCTAGGAGACCCCAGGGAATCTTTGTCAGTATTTTCAGGGGGAAAACTGTAAGGATATATTCGAGAAGGTGATCTCATTTTCCGATGGTGAGCATCTGTGTCTTAGGACATGCAGGTTATTAGGCGGCCTGTGTTTTTTGTTGTGTTTTAAGAACAGATGTAGAGCAGTGGGGACAAGAAGAAGGGGTTGGATTTGAAAGAGATTCGACCTTAGTGATTGGCTGTAGGAATGAGGGGGCACTTGAAGTTGATCTCTGGGACCCTGACTTGAGTACCTCGGTAAGTTCTGGTGCTGTTGGCTGCAATAAGGAAGATCCTAGCAGAAGGATAGGTTTACCAGGGGACAGTGGTATCTAGGAGGTGCCCGCAGGATGTCCACAGGAAAGAAAAGAGATGATTCCCTGTGTAGCTCAAGAGAAAGGAGCAGGCGGGAGGTAGCTGGAGAGAGTTGTTAGCATTGAGTGGTGATTGGACCTAGGATCAGGGATGAGTTTGCCAGAAGACAAGCCTGCAGGACCCCTGAGTTAAAGGGAAGGTTCAGGTGGAAAAGTTGGAAACGAGATCAAGATGGAACAACCAGAGAAATGGGAGAAAACTCCAGAGAACCCAGGAAGAGTGTTGACCAAAAAGGAATCAGATGGAGCACTGGAGAGTGGTACAAGCAGTCTGCACTCAACTACTGCAGTGTAGTAAATTAACATAGTGTGACTTTTCTAGCCATAAGTCTTTGTAAAGTCCGTGGTGGAATTTGCTGTGAGCAACTGAGTAGCTCCTGATTGCTAAAGTTATCCACCTGGGGTGTTTCTGTTCAACCAGCATGAAGCGGTCTTCTGGGCAGTTCGCTCTCTCTCAGATGTATACAATTCTGATGTTGGGATTGGTTAGTGGTCACTCTGCCAGGCTCAAAAGGAGCCCTCCTAGAGGCAGAAGAAGTCTCTCTGACTGCTGGCTGAGAAAGACGTGCTGCTGAGAGAAACGTGCTCCTGAGAGACATGCACTTGCTGAGAGAGAGATGTGAGAGACACACACTGCTGAGAGAGAGACTGAGAGACATGCACTATTGGGAGAGAGACTGAGCGTGTTCCTGAACTTAAATTGTAGCCTGCTGCTTCCCTAATGAACCCCATAATCTGTGAATTCTGTGTGGCCACTGTACTGAATTAGCGAACCCAGGAGAGAGGTGGTGGGTGCTGCAGGAGGGAATGGTTGGTGTCAGGGTTGGTGAAAGGGCTGGAGAGAGGTGGCATGTCTGGCCTGGCAGGAATAGGCCTGGGGCTACTGATAGTGATTCTGTCTTCCTCTTGTGGGGTTAGAGGAGGTCAGAAAATGCGACCTCCCTGCTCCTCTGGCAACTACTACCCGAAAGGTCAGCAATTTAAACCCTAAGGCACCAAGGAAGAAAAGTCTGATGATCTGCTGCCACAGAGATCACAGCCAGGAAACTCCGGTGGAGCTCCATTCAGCTCTAGCACGTGGGGCGACCAGGAGTCAGCCTTGACTCAGTGGTGGCTTTGGTTCTTCATTTGGTATTGTAGGAGGGAGTTGGGTGGTTAACTGCCACCAAGAGGTCAAGTAAAGTGCTGGCCAAGAAAGTCCTTTGGATGCAGCCTGTGGGGGTGGCTGCTGACATTGACCTGTTTTGGTGGAATGGTGGGTGGAGGCCTGGTTGCAGATCCTTGGGAGGTACAGAAGCACCAGTGTGGACACCTCCCTCAGGAAGCTGGGCCTAGAAGGACAGTGGAGACACACAGTGAGGGCTGGAGGTGGGGAGGGGTGTTGAGTTCCCTGGAGCTGTGTTCACACTGCCTTCTTCCTGAAGCATCCCAAGCTCCTCCCTATAGCTGTGGCTGCTGGTTCACCATCACTGGCCTCTTCCTCACTGCTGCCCAAGCATTTGTACTTCACCGCACTCCTCAGCACACATCCTCTACGTCTCCTTGTTGTTTCTCTTTGGATATCAGGTTCCTCTTCCTAGCCAGGACCTCTCTGAAGTCACGGACTTCACTTGTCTCGTGTCCCCCATGGTGTCTGTCACCACCTTGCTGAGTACATATCTGAGGTTTCATAAAGGGCTGGCTGAATCCTGATCAGTCCACATTGAGCTGTTCCTGGTCATTGCTATCCACAGAAAAAAGGGTATGTCCCCAATGGTTCATGATAAATATGATGCCAGCTACCTGGTTTTTGGTGGTGGTGTTGGCTCTTCCAATACATATTGATGGTTCTAGATGATTTAAGCATTGATTTGCTTCTGTCAGTGACAAAGCCGTCAGCTGTCAGGGACCCATCTCACAAATAACCTGTAGGTTCTCTCATGAAGCAAAGCCCCGTGTCTTCTGATGATGTCAACCAATTTCACACAGTAAATGCCCCAGCTCAGGGGTCCCAGTGCTTGTCTGAGCATGTTCATTGTTCTGTACAAGCATGCCCTTGGTCCATTGTCACAGCCTAAAGCCACGTTACGTTACCGTTCATTCCACAAGTCAGGGGTAGTCAAGCCGGCTCCAGCCAAGCACCCTGCTGCCATCTTGCCAGCAGTGAAGAGAAGGACAGCATGTTCCTTCCGTGTTTCTGAAGACTGTGTCTGTCCCTGGTGTGTGACTCTCTGTCCTTGTTAAAATTTTCAAACCTGTCCACTGTGTGATTGATGAACGTGTGGATGTGCCCATGGTTGCAGAGATGGCTGCAAGGGATGTTACAGCTTTGGAAGTGACACAGAGCCCAAGTGTCACCCGGCTGTCCCTCATACTTCTTCCCTTACCCCCTATCAGCAGCTCTCCACAATGGTTGCCAGATCATGCACAAGTGTTTCCAGAAATGTCTGGTTTCTCGAGTTGAATGCTGCAGTTGACATGTTGGAAAGTACATCTTTCTGTCTGAACCAATACTTCTCATTGTTTATTGTGTGAGAAAGGCATGGAACTGCCATTATCCAAGGAACAAGTTTGGGGTTGAAATTGCCACCAACCTGTCGGATCTTTCAAGACAGGGAACGTGTCTTTGCGTGACTCTAGGAAGGGGCTGCTGGAAGTTGGGTTGACTGGGGCCTGTTGGTTCCTTTTGTCCAGAATCCGGAGCATTTGGAGCCAGGCGGGACCGTCTGATTGTACATCTGGCCCTCTGCCCCTCTTTCCGCAGATCCAAACTGGGCCAGTCTGAACTTGGGCGCCCTCATGTGCATTGAGTGCTCAGGGATCCACCGGAATCTTGGCACCCACCTTTCCCGCGTCCGCTCTCTGGACCTGGATGACTGGCCTATCGAACTTATCAAAGTGATGTCTTCCATCGGGAACGAGCTGGCCAACAGCATCTGGGAGGAGGGCAGCCAGGGGCGGACGAAGCCCTCCCTTGACTCCACCAGGTAGGGACCTTGGAAGGGGTGTGCTTACTGATCCATTTGGCCAACAGTTAGACCACTGAAAAGAGCCCTAATGACAGCCACGCCAGGGATGGCTCTTGTCGCCTACAGGAACGCTGATTAGTCCAGTGTGGCGAGGTCCATGTTTCAGTGTGGTCTTCAGCAGATGTGGGTAATTCCAACACCTTGGTTCTTTGCTTGCATTGAGGCCTTTGGGTTCCTCTTCCCCTCTTAGAAACCTGTTAGTTTCTAACATTAGGAATACATGACTTTACTAATACATTTCTAATAGGTGTGAGCTATGTTGTTCACACTAATTAGGAAAGTTTTATTCTTTCATTTTATTATTTTTATGTCTTTGATTAGCCTCCTTTCAGTTGGTGCTCTCCTCCCACCCCCCAAACAACTGAGTTTAATGTAATAAAATACGTGTTATTGTTAAAATACATTCCTGACACCTTTAATCAGCCAGGTGTGGCATGACTTATGTGGTGCCCCACGGTGTTAGTTGTTACCCAGTGTGAAAGTCACATTCCTTTGAGGCCCTTTAGCTGCCAGTTTTTCGTTTGCAGTTGTTGTAAACTGTTTGTGAGCGTGCATGCGTATTTGGTGTTGCTGAGAGGTGATGAAGCCGTGTGTCCTCTCAGAAGCCCTGTTTCCTGGGAGCTGCTGGATCTTCACAGTGGGCAGTGTGAAGGAGGTGCCTTCCGACTGGCTCCTATACAGTGAGGCTGTGCCTCCTAGACAGGAAGTGGGGCTTAGGGCGTGGAGTTTGCTTTCAATACTCCCTTCAGTGTGGAGACATGAAGAGAGAGACAGTATCTCTCAGAGCACCTTTCAAATCTCTCTGTTGAGGTGATGATCAGATACTTGAACTCCAAGTGGCTTTCTATGGTTGGACACCAAATAAAAGGACAGGAAATGGTTTCAACTGCTGGGTAGTAATGACGTACAACGGGTGGTGGGTGCATGTGGTTCCACTAACGCTGGAAAAGGAGTTTGTGATACCGCCTTCGGTTCATCTTAGAGGATAAAGCCCATGTGTGGATCCCACTGCTTCTTTTGGATGTTCTGGGTAGAGGTAGACCAGAAGGTGAACCAAAACCAAACTCACTGCTGTGGAGTCACTTCCAACTCACTCGCCCCTAGAGGACAGAAAACCACCCCATGGGGTTGCCAAGGCTGTAAGTTTGTACAGAAGTAGACTGACTCATCTCCCTCCCGCCGAGCAGCTGGTGGGCTCAAACTGCCAACCGAGCCCTTTGGTTAGCACCCGAGTGCTTTAACCACTGTGCCACCAGAATGTGTTTCTTGTTTAAAATTGCACCCATTCGCCATGTGCATTCTTTGTATGTGAGTTTTGTGCTGTGATGTACATGTATGTAACTTCATTACAAACAGAGGAAACAGTACACTTTAAAAATTTATCTTGATTTATTTAACACTAACCTGTAGAAATCAGCTGGCATTAATGAGGAGCATTTTTTAAAGATTAATTCATGCTTTAATATCTATTTTTTCTGAGGTATAGTATCCTGGAAGGATACTTAAGGTATAAAAATGAGAAATGATTAGAAATTAGATTGAATTGAATGTATGGATGCAGAAAACATTGAAATTGGAGTAAGGTGGGGGAACAAATCACTCTATCCTCATCCGCCTTACTGTGTAGGGGCAAAAAGGACCATATACACTATTTTTAATATTATGAACGAATTAGAAACGTTTGTTTTTCCATTTATTATGATCAGTGAAACCCTTGAAAAGGAGCAGGAAGAAACATGGCCCTTAAGTTTTTTAAGTGATGTGAATTTCACCTTGACTCCTAAGTGAAGAGTGTGTGAGTATTTTGTCCTTGCTGGTGCATGTCAGTTTCCTTCCTGAGCTGTAACTCTCACTTCTGCCTGGTATTACCTGTTTGGACCCCATCTGCCTGCTCCAGAGACCTGTTTCAGAGTCTTCCTTTTTCACGAGGCAGTTGAGCCTGCCTCGTGTGTCTCATACCCACTCAGCTGTAGCTGTATCCAGGCTGAGTTCACAGTGATACTATGCTATCGTATTTCCAAAGCTACCTTTGGAAGGTCTGAAATCCCATTCATCTCTGAGAAGGTATTTCTGTATGACAAATGAATGCTCCTGGATTCTGTTAGTAATTCTCCCACTGAGTTTTTCTAACTTCAGCAGACCCTCACTGAGCACTTTCTCACGGAGATGAGCTGTATGGTGTCGTGAGTCTGAAGTGGTGGAAGGCATGTTTTCGGGTCATCAGGGGCAGGGGGTGCCAGGCTCATGGAATCCAGAGACTGAAGGGACTCCTACCACTCATGAGCTCTGAGGAAGTTTCTGTGGCAAGAAGGCACCCGAGCTGGTATTTAAAATAAGGGGCAGAGAGTGTGTGTGCCAGCAGGTGGTAGCGACGTGGGCAAGGCGCCAACGGTGTGTGAATCCGTGAGTCATGGAAAACAAGCACAAGGTTGGTAAGGCCGAAAACAGAGCCAACGGCTGGGCTGGCTCTGAAGCGAGGCGCAGTGGTGCAGAAGGTGACTGGAGTGCGCTTTTCATTTGTTCGTGTGTGTTTTTCCTTGTTCCACATGAGCTAAGGGATGGAGACAGGAGGCCATTCGAAGGTGCTCCCCTCTCCTGGTGGAACGTATGAGGCTCCAGGGGGACCGGGACCACCCTCTGTCTGCCAGTGTGCTTTATTCTGCTGGCTGCATGTTGCTGTGAGGCTGGGAGCTCTGCCGCCAGCATGTCCAGTACATCTGGGTCCCCACAGTGGACAGGTTTCCCTAGAGCTTCCAGACCAGGACAGACTAGGAAGAAGGACCTGGTGACCGACGCGCAGAGCCTGGGTTACAAACGTGTGACTGACATACAACCCATAGTTTTGAACCAGCCCCTGTAAAGCCTGTTGAAGTGAAAATTCAAGGTACTCCTTGCAAGGTGCATTAAAACATTATTTTTTCACTCTGTTATCATGATAAAGATAACATGTTAAAGATAAAGTTTAATGTGTCTGGAAGTTTTTCTTCAATGTTTCTATGCATAGCAGGATACACTAGATACTAAAACAAACACTGGACTCATTGACCGTGCTGCGAACCATACCTCCCTGTTCCAGCTTACATGCAAATTCAACTTACAGACAGACATAGGAACAGAACTCACTCATAATCTGGGGACTGCCTGTACCTCTGAAAACAAGCCAGCGGAAACCCGCTGCCCAATCGAGTGCTGGGAGGGGCGCCTGGGTTGGAAGGCAGGCACAGTGGCCGCACAGTGGATTTGAGCCACCAGCACTTATGACGATGATGCAGGCCCAGGCAGGGTTCACGTGTTTGGTGAGATGGCCATGCATTGGAGCCAGCCCCACCATGCTCCCAACAACAGCTACACTGTCGAAACACACACACACACACACACACACACACACACACGACTGAGCATAGTACATGGTAACATTCACACCCCCACCACCTTCTGCAGCCACCATCTCATTCATTCAAAAATACACAACCAAACTCAGGGGTAGAATCACCCAAGTGAAATTCCATGCAGGAAGCCAGAATGGACCTCTAGTCTAATCCTGTCTGTCTAACACCAGAAAGAGGACCACACCCCAGCCTTTGTCTTTCTGCAGGACCGGGACAGTTAGTAGAAACAGCTGCAGGGTTGTCTCAATTGCCCTGAGGTTTTCTACAAAGAAACCTTTTCATACATTTATCTCCAAGGAAAAGCCACGTGCAGAGTATCAGTCCTGTCCTCTGAACAGGGGCCCAGATGGCTGCCCAAGAAGTCCCCGTCTGTTCCATCTTGTCCAGAGACTCATTCTGACTATGGACACAGTTATGCCTGTCTATCCCCTCCACTCCCCTACCAAAGCACACCCCCCAGACCAGCACCACGCACAAGGAGAACAGGGCAAATCCATCCCCGAGGAAACCACCGGTCCCCAAAACAACAGTGCGTCCGAGGCGTCCAGACCTGAGGGCAAGGGAGGCAGACAGGCGCCTTTGAACAGCTGGCTGGCCCTCTGCCTGCTGTCCCTGCACCCGATTAGGGCAGCTTCGGACGGCTCATAATTGGTTCCAGCGATTCCTGGCCGCCCTGAGAGCTGTCGTTCAGACTTGGGCTGCATCGTGATCAATGGAAGCTGACGGCCACAGAGCCTGTATTGACTTCCATCCCTAAGCAGGGGAATCATTAGTCGAGAAAAGCATCGTTTAATTACTCCCAGGAAGGGAAAAAAGTCTTCTCGGATGGATTCTGCAACAACTGCCATTTTTCCCAGTGTATTCGATATGAAATTTATCGTCCCGGGCAGGGAGAAGGTGCCTGTGCCCCCCTCCTCGGTAATGGAGGGTTAATTTGGAGTGAGCAGCCACGTTACAGCAATCGATGCTGCAACAATTAACTGCATCTGGGCTGGAATCAGAATTCCCCCTCTCTAATTGCTATTGATAGCATTTAAGCACACACTTAAAATATTGATTTTAAATGGGGATGTGCAAGGGGAGGGGAGGGAGCAGGCAGAATTCACGAGGCTTTAGGGGTGCACTGAGGGGCCGTGTGCTGTCTCTAGGCACCAGGGCTTCATGGCCCTTCTTGTGTGAGTTTGCATATCACACCTTGGAGTGTTGTTGTGGAGCGTTGGGCTCTGGGGCTGCCAGGCAGGGGCTCCAGGCTCAGGTGTTGAGACCGATGGTGTAACAGAACAAAACAAAAAAGCCAAACTGACTGCTGTCAAGTCGGTTCCGACTCATAGTGACCCTTGTTAGCTTTCCGAGGCTATAAATCTTCCTTCTGCAGAGTGACTGGTGGGTTTGAGCTGCTGACCTCCTGCTTAGCAGCCAAATGCCTTATCCACTACAGCACCAGAGCTCCTTGATGGTTAACAGTAGGGAGAATTCACCGAGTTCTGGCTGACCCTTCCAAATGGAATCAGAATGAGCTCAGAGGTAGAGAGTCAAGCAAAAACAACCAAACACCCTGCCATCGAGTCA